GATTAGATTAGATTAGATTAGATTAGATTAGATTAGATTAGATTAGATTAGATTAGATAGGGAGGAGGAGGGAGGGAGAGGGAGAGAGATATGATGGATAGATAGATAGATGATTGATGGATAGACAGAGATAGGGGTTTTTTTCTCTTTTTTTCCTTACACTCTGAATTAACACAGAGCATCAAGCTTTGGAAGTGGTGATGAAAAAATTATCTTGACATACACACCACACACCTTTTAAATGGATATACCTTTTATTCTCCCATATAAGAATCCATGAAGATTTCTGGAGTTTGGGTTCAAAACAGTATCCAATTATGACACAGATATGCCTCCAGGAAGGAAGTCCAGAACCCTTTATAAATGAAAATATCATCATCTTTTCTATACTGCCTTAAGATTTCTCTGATTTTTTTTAAGAAGCAAAACACTGTTAACATTTTTTTCCTTGTGTACATCAATTAGTACTGGCAGTACTTGCAACATTAGCCGACCTGTATCATGAATAATTTTTTCCAGTTTCAAGAACAAACAAAGGAATGATGGCATTTCCCAGAATGAAAATAAAACAAAACAAAAAACTTGTGCATCTTTAAATGGCTCTCTTTATTAATATGATATGGCAAATGTTTGCTCCTGTTTATTAAATCAACATGAAAGGTTAATTATGCTAAGTGACTATGGATAGAAAACAATTCTTGGAAGATGCTTTTTAACAACAGGTTGGCAGTCTGCAGGAGCCATCTGTTTCCCCCAAATGTTAAGGTACAATCTTAAATTTGTGAGGTTAAAAAGTACAGATTGCCGAGTAGTTTAGGAGATATAAAATCCGTGCAGTGATGATAGGAAAGTACTGATTCTCCTTGACATGCAGCCTGGTAGGTGTGCCAAGTTTTCCAAATATGGTGGTAGGCTGCAAATAATGGTGGAAATTACTGAAAAATAAGTAACAAGAAGACTCTTTGCCTTCATATATAAGGAATCAGGTATCCTGGAATGAACTATGGTATGAATCTATTGTAGGATAAGCATCCATTTTGTTTAATTTTTATTACAATTTAATAATGATGAGAGTCCATATCTTGATTTTTAAAATCCTGAAGATGCCCAATTCAGTTGTATGAATCCTTAGTACTTTTCAAAAACTAGCTTTGTTGTTTTCTTGCAGACATTTTATTACCTTACTTGGTAACATCATCAGTGCTAGTGATGATGATGTTACCTAGTTTGGGTAATGAAACATCCGCAAGAAAACAACCAAGCTCAAAGAGCACCAAAGACCTCTCATTTCAATCCTGAGCTACAA